TTTGCTCGGGTGTCCCTGGTCTGCTGGGGGGGTCCAGCAGCTTTGCTGGACCCCCCTCCCCCCCCAGCAGACCAGGGAGACCGGGAGAAGCTTTTCTTGCCCCGGAGGACACGGGTGGCGACCCGCTGCCCGTGAGCTCCGGGGCGAGAAAAGCCCTGTTCGTAAGTGCGGATCCGACATAAGTCGGGGACTGCCTGTAATTCAAATCCTTGGGCTTGATGCATGAATAACTGGGTGCAATACTCTGGGCTGCATTAGGCAGTTTCAGACTGAAAAATTAAAAAAACAAAGCGGTCAAACAGGCCTGCCAACGGGGAGGTAAAGGGAGCAGTTGCTGTGGGGCCCAGCTATTCAAAAGGACCTGGAACTCCCAGATGCTGTAGCTACTGTGGCAGCAGATGGAGCCCCAGGCTCTTTAAATCACTGCCTAAGGACCAGGTGGCACAGTCTGGGTGGTGCTGAAGGGCTAGTGGAGGGAAGGGGAGTTTAGTCTCACCTCTTCTGCCTTAGTCCCCCTTCCACTCGCTTTACCCAACGGCCCAGCATTCTGTCAGCCCTTTTGGGGGCAGATCCTCAACTGGGGTCAATTCTGATAGCCCCACTGATATCTGCAGAGCTGTAACAATTTGCATCTACTGAGGACCTGCGCATATGAATCTATAAAATACAGCCAAAGTTCAAGTGTTCAAAAAAGCATATGGGAAATTTTACATTAGGAAAATTGAACAAAAAAAGACCATTTGTTGAAGTAACAACTGAAAACTGAAATAACTGAACAGCAGAACTTTTAATCAGTTTAAAAGAGAATGTTTATTACAATTTCTCTGAAGCAAGAGACTCTTGCAGTTTAACTGGAATTGCCTGGAAAAAAAAGACAGTTTTCTTTTAAGAGAAATAGTATTTCTTTAAAAACAGCAGGAGTAATTCATTTTAAGAGACACTTCAGGACAACTGAAAAAACCTGAAGCACAATGTATAACTCTCAGGGTTCCAGAGCTCATTACAGTACACGAAAAATTTCCTATGCCTTCAGTAGGCTTTGGACCAGGCTCTCTCTGAGATTTTGTTTTATGATAATAAAAATGGTGTCTGTACTATGTAGAATCTCTTTTTCAGAAACAAAAAATTCTTAAATTAAGCTACCAAGACTTAAACTGCCTCAGCTTTAACCCCCCCCCTGCAAAAAAAAAAAAATCCTCTTGAGTTTTCCTAAGTAGAGAAGTCAAACTAATGTACAACTTGGCAATGGCTTTGGTAAGTAATTTACTTTAAAAGTTGGTTGGTGGTGCTGAAACTGAGTAAATTAAAATTAAAACAACACCTGTGCAGTAAAATGTTGTGAAATACAGCACATACCTTGTGGAATGCATTTTAAAGCTGTATATCTATAATCCGAAATTTCTTCACAAATTTCAGTGCAATATTTTTCCTTCTGGTTGCCTGAAATGTAACTGTGTTTATGCTGCTCATTGACCAAAACAGTAATTTGATCCCTTAGATTAACATAATCCTTATGGAGATGGCGAAGTTCAAACTGCAATACATCTCTTTCATTTTCTATAGTCCGCAGTTGGTTTTCCATAAGTAAATGGTCTTCATTCAATCTTCTGATGTTACTTTCATATTTGGAAGTATCTTGTTTACTTTCCTGCAGTTCCTTTTTAAGAAGCTGATTGTCCTTTGTGATATTTGCCACCACTGTTGATAAATTCTCACATTCACTGTTCATATTCAATAACTTAGTCTTTAAAATATCCCTTTCTGCTTTTATATTTTGAAGTTCAGTCAAGAATTTCTCTTCTATATAAGCTTTATCTGACTGGACCCTCTCAAGCTCCTTCTGCAACATTTGTCTAGCATTAGCACATTCTTGCAATGTCATTTCAAGATCAAGATTTTTGTCTTTAAGTGACTGTATTATGTGACAAAGAGTCTCCTGTTCAGATTTTGTTTCATTTTCTTTTTCTTTCAGTTGCTGTATTTGAATCTGATTTTTTTCAAATTCTTTTTCAAGAGAGTTCTTTTCTTTTGCAAGTTGGGACATTTTTATTTCTAGTTTCTGATTTGTTTCTTGCAACACTGAAGATTCCTTTTGCAAAGATTCTAGTTCCATAAAGAGCCTATCCTTTTCACTGGTAACAGTAATCGTTATTTCTTGTGCTTTCTGGTTATTAATTTTGAAGTCATCTAGTGCTTGCTTCATACATTGGTTTTCAGTACAGAGTTGATTTTTTTCTCCCTCAATAATTTTCTTTTGGTCTTGAAGTTCTTTGCATTTCTTTAACAATTTTTTCACTTCTTTAATACATTCTTTGCTATCTCCTTCTGATTTAACTAACCTAACTTGCATGCTTTTCTTTTCTTCAACAACATTCTTAATTTGCTTCTCATATTGTGAATTTCTGTCTCTCAGAGACCTTATGATAACAGTAAGAGGTTTCATTTTTGACTTGAGCGCTACATTTTCACTCTCAAGTTCCATTACTTTTTTTTGCAAGTGTTTGGAATCTTTCAGGGAATTTTGTAACTCTTCCATTTTTGCAGGGGACTCATCAGCTGTGATTTCACAGAAATTCTGATTTCCAAGTTTTAGTATCCTTTGCTGTTCTTTTTCTTTCTGTAGTTTCTCTGTGTTATCAAGCATTAGTAATTTATCTTTTACTGTTTTAGAAAAGGCATTTAATTGGAACATGCCAACACCATCGGTACTATACAATTCTTTGTTTTTGTTCTTGCTTTCCATTTCTGTCTGTGTACTGCATGTAGTTATATAAGCAGAATTCGGAGAGTTGTTACATTCAGAGTCTTTGTTAAATTCTTGACCAAGATTCAGATTTTTTCCTTTAAGGGAAACCAGAGAAACATGCGAATTGTCTACTGATTTCTCGGGCTCTGAATTTTCCCTCGATTTTAAGTCCATGTGTAATTTCACTCTAGATAAAAAAGTAGATTTTTCTTTTTCTGACATATCATCAAAAACAACATTTTGATTACAGGAAACATTCTGACATTTAAATGCATGTTCTAGGTCCCGTTTGTGAGACTTTTGACATTCTTGTTTCAATGGCTTGATAGAATAGCTAAGGTTGTCTATTAGGTTACGTTCATCACTGTATTTGAGAAGAGGCACACAAGATTCAGAGTCATCCAAACTTACTTTCTCATGAGAAGGTACCATACTTTGAGGCTCCAAATCAATACAAGGTAGAAAACATTCAGATTTGGCATAATCCTTCAATTTGCAATCATTTTTTACAATCATAGTTTTGTTTTCAATTGGTTCTACTGAGTTTTCAATCTTTCCAGTTGCTATAGTTTTTAATGAAATCTGATTTGAAATATTTACATCACTGACCACATTTCCAAAGATATTATTAGGATTTGTTTCCACAGATTGAATGGTACAATGTTTCTTATCAAGATGAAATTTCTTCCTAGACAATGGTGTTTCTGGACTCCTTGTAGACTACAAAAAACAATAACAATCATACTGGCTATAATTTTTCACAACACTCGAGGCAGAAGACAACAAATTCGTTGTAAAATCTATGAATCATGCAATATTGCTAGAAATTTTATCTGCCAACAAAATCTATTTGTCTAACATGAGGAAAGACATATTCAGACTGTTAATCTTTCCATTAAAATCTTAAAGAGCAGATCAGAATACTCCAACAAATTTAAGAAATTGTATTATGAGTCCCATTTCATTTGTCAGTTTTCTGTTTTCTTCTGGAGGCATAAAATTTAACTATTTTTCAAGAAAGCAAAGTATTCTATCAGTTATGGAAAGGCACACTGTTTTAGAAAAGGATCTGTTTAAAAGCACATGGAGTCAATAAATCTTTTTATTGTCTTCACTGGGCCCTGCATGAGGCCCAATGTGTTGACTCAACATGTTGAGTCCTATCGGAACATTTGCAGCAGGGGAAAGACAAGCTAATGGGCAAATCTTACACAGTTAGGGTTGCCAGGTATCCAGTATTGAACCGGACAGTCCAGTATTTTTTGCCTCCTGCCCAGTAAAAAAAAAAATCAGAAAATACCGGACACCTAAAATGTCCAGTATTTTCTGATTTTTTTTTCCCAGCGAGGAGGTGAAAATCCTGGACTGTCCGGCTCAATACAGAGGCAGCTTGGCAACCCAGAGGGGCGGGGATTACTAATCTCCCACCCAACCAAGGCAGCTAAAATCCCTGCAGGCGGGGAGGCCTGGGAGCAGCCTGGGGCTAAACCCTCCTCCTGCAGCCTGGGGGTACCGGGACACCACTCCTGGGGGGTCACTCTTACCTGCCCCCCCATGTGCTGCCTGCCCTAGGGCAGAGGCTGGGCCAAGCAGGGCCTGGCCAGGCTGGGGGTGCAGGCTGGGACAGGCTCCTGAGAAGCAGCGGGATTGGCCCTGCTGGAGATTCCCCCTCCCAGCTGCAGCCTGGGCTCTGGGGCACCGCAGCAGCCCCCGCTGGAGCATGGTCCCAGAGTCTCCATGAGCAGCAGCGATGAGTTGCTTCCTGCAGCTAAGCCGGAGCCAGCGATCAGAGGGGACAGCGGGACTCCTAGCTGTGGCTACTGTCCTCAGCGCCTCCTGGGTCCAAGCGAGCGCAGGGCAGGGAAGGGGAAACTCTGCCCGGGGTTGGAGCAGTTCCCAGCCAGGGGACAGGTTGGCCGAATTTTTGGTGGTGCCTAGAATGGGTCCAAGACTGCCCCCCCAACCTGCCTAAGGCTCTGGGAGGGAGTTTGGGGGCAGGATCTGGGCTGAGACAGGGGACTGGGATGGGAATTTTGGGGTTCAGGCTCTGGGAGCTTGGGGGATTTTCAGCAAAGACAGTGTACTCATAAAAATATATTTAACCCCCCCATATATTTAACTGGAACCCTCCCCCCCCCACACCTGCTATAAAGACTAATTAAATTTGTTTTGCATGATCACTCAGCCCCAAGAGTAGTTAAGCAAAAAAAAAAAAAAGGACCCGAGAGTTAAGCAACCTCAAACACTGTAGCCCCTTTAAAAACCGCATAGTGAGGCGTCTCTCCCCCGTGCCCGCCCCCTTTTTTTTGCCCAACAAACTTTTTCCTGGCGTGGGTTTGTTTGGTATTTTTTCTGAAACCGTCTGGCAGCCCTATACACAATTAGCCTACTCAATTTAATTGGACAACTTATGTAAGGCAAGCAGAACTTTGTGCTAAATCCATATTTAAAAGATGTTGCTTACTCAGCACTTCACAGGAATGAGACTGACTGTGCCAAACACACATAGAATTCCCATCACATTCAATAGGAGCTGTCCCACTTAATACAAATTCACATCTTTAGCATAGTTTGGAGGCCCTTGTTGAAGTCTTGTTTAAAGTAAAAAAGGAACTGAGCTTTAACCATATTGGGAGACAAGCTTGTTGTAACTAGGTCCCACAACATGACTGTTTTTGTAGTCTTCAATTAATGTTCTTTTAAGATAGAATTATGATGGACTTGTACTATAAATAAGACCATTATATATGTTAGAAAGGAAATTACTGTGGGCACATTTTGTGCCCAGAATTTTTCTTTGCTTTGATTACATTTTGCAAAAAACATACAGTTCTCAGAAACAGAAATCCAATAAAATATTGTAATGTGCAATTCAGTAGTAAGTAAGTATTAAGAAACATACCATAGCTATATCAGGTGGTGAGCTTGTCTTCAGAAGCTTGTCTGGACTGCACTGTGGGGTTTTGACATCAATTATATTTTTATTCAGTATCTCACTGATTTCAGATTGTACCTGAAAAAGATATTTGGAGAATGTTACTTTTTGAAAGATATCTACAGAAAACAGCATAGAACCTATAATCACAGAAATATAGGACTGGAAGAGACATAGATAGGTCATCTTACCCAGTCCACTGCATGGAGGCATGATTAAATATTATCAAAACGGGGATTACTCAACCTGGGGCTCAGAACCAGGTTGCCAGAATGTTTCAAAGGGTTGTATGGCAGCTCCTGTGCCATGAGGCTGGCTGGGTTTGCCTCCCTGGTTCAGGCACTGCAACCTCTGGGGTCTTAGCACCTATGCGGGTTAGCTCAATTTCATAATAATGAGAACGCCTGAAGTGGAGAGGCAAGCCCAGTCAGATTCACAGCACTGTAGCTATAGAGCCGCTCCTGTGGGGTTAGTGCCGAGCAGAACCCCAGGGCCTCCAATCCCAAACTTGTTTCTGGGTGTGATATTCTGTACTTCAAAATATCACCCTGGAACCTCCGTATTCACCATTGTCATTATTATAATGACAATCATTATAATTATTACATGTTTTGTATAAGCTATGTCTTATGAGCTATCCTTTTAAAAGGGATGGAGGGGCAGGGAAATGAACTTGCATTGGCCAGGCTTCTGACCAGTGCAAGACAGTATAGTTCTGGGATACAAGATGGGGGAGCTGGGAGGAACTGGCTAGAATATCTCTATTGTTGGTTTATGAATGTCTGGCAGGTGGATATCTGTATAAGTGCAGCACCTGTAAGAGGCCAGTAGCTTGGGAACAGCATTGAAGAATGAGAGGGATATTCCAGGATAGCGGGACAGAGACCTCAGGGATCTCACAGTTCAGGTTGTACCCAGGAACCCCATCACAGTGGACCTCCCTATATAATTTGTTCCAGTGAGTGACTACCCTTACAGTGGAGTTTTCCCTAATATCTAACTTAAATCTCCCTTACTGCAATTTAAGCCTATTACTTCTTATCCTGTCCTCAATGATTAAGGAGTTATCGCCTCCCCTTTATAGCAACCTTTTATGTACTTAAAAAAAAAGAAGCTACTCACCCTGTGAAGTAACGATTGTTCTTCGAGATGTGGCCCATGGGTGCTCCATTCTAGGTGTTGGGTCCCATCCCGGCGCCACGGCTTGGAGATTTTTCATAGCTGTGCTCCACTGGCTTGCGCATGCGTGCTTCCCCAGGATAGCATTCACACCTTTGATCAGCTGCGCGCGAGCCGGCAACCGTCAGTTCCTCTCACCCGCTCATCTGGAAGAAAAAATAAAGAACAATTCCGGAGAGGGGAGGAAGGGTGGGTCATGGAGCACCCACGGGGCACATCTCGAAGAACAATCGTTACTTCACAGGGTGAGTAACTTTTTTTTCTTCTTTGAGTGGCCCCGTGGGTGCTCCACTCTAGGTGACTCCGGAGCAGCATCCAGAACAGAATTAGAGCGCTCCGGAATCAAGACTACCAGCACGATTAAGTACTGCTGTAGCCACAGAAGAGTCTGAAGCAAACTGATCGACTAGAGCATAGTGCTTCATAAAAGTCACATTAGAAGACCATGTTGCCGCTCTGCAAATGTCATGAAAGGACACTCTACTCAGAAAGGCCGTAGTAGTAGCAACTGCCCTAGTTGAATGAGCCCTCAGAAGAGAAGGGAGAGGCTTCCCTCATAGTGAATGGCACATGGATATACATGAAACTATCAGTCTTGAAATACGCTGAGAAGTTAGAGGCTGTTCTTTTGAATGGTGCGCTAATGATACCAGCAAACAGTCTGTTTTCCTAAAACCCCGCATTCTGTCAATGTAAAACACTAAGGATCTTCTCTCATCCAACGTATGCAACTGCGCTGCTTGCGTTGAGGTATGGGGTTTTGGAAAGAAACATGGTAAAACTACTGGCTCATTTATGTGGAATTCAGAAGAAACTTTCGGGATAAACACCGAATGGGTCCTTAATGTCACCGAGTCTTTAGAAAAAACTCTAGAGGGAGGTGAGGCCATAAAAGCTGCTATCTCACTCACTCTGCGAGTCGAAGTGAGGGCTAGGAGGAATAGAAGTTTGACAGTAAGTAAGTATAATTTCACTGTAGCCAAGGACTCAAAGGGAGGACGAGTCAACGTTTCTAGGACTAGATCCAAATTCCATAAAGGCGGAGGAGGCCTCTGCGGGAGATGGAGATTCGAGAGCTCCTTCAGAAATCTTTTTGTAGTAGGGTGAGCGAACAAGGAAACAACCCCATCCTTTTGATGGAATGCATTAATTGCCACCAAGTGTACTCGTAGAGATGCAACTGCCAGGCTGTTGTTATGCAGCTGCAAGAGGTATTCCAATATACAAAGTAGGGTTGTGAAACGAGGGTTTACATTGTTATCTGCACACCGTGCTTGGAATTTGGACCACTTAGCCATATAAGTGGTTTGTGTAGACTGTTTTCTACTATGCATCAACACTTGCTTGACTCGCTGAGAACAGGATTGCTTGGAGTCGGTAAACCAACAAGCACCCATACTGTGAGGAGCAGAACTTTGGGTCTCAGATGACTGAGAGATCTGTTGCCCTGGGTCAATACATTCGGAAGAGAAGGCAGAGGATACGGCACTCTCACTGACATCTGGTGAAGCACTGAGAACCAAGGCTGACGAGCCCATGCCGGGGCTAGGAGGATCACCCGGGCTTTGTCTGTGTTGATTTTTTCGAGAACCTCGAAATTAAGACTACTGGGGGAAAGGCATACAGTAACCTCCCCCAGTGGAGAAGAAAGGCATCCCCCAGCGAGTGACGTCCTATTCCGGCTCTTGAACAATAGGCGGGACATTTCGAATTGAGTTCTGTTGTGAATAAATCTATCGCCGGAAATCTCTATCGAGCAAAGATACGAGTCCCCATGTCCATCCGAACCTCCCACTCATGGTCGTGTGGAAAACGTCTGCTGAGAGAGTCCGCCATTAAGTTGTCGACACCTAGAAGATACGAAGCTGTTAGAACGGTGTTGTTGCTGATACACAAATTCCATAAACGGATGCTCTCTGAGCAAAGAGAATGGGATCGAACACCTCCTTGTTTGTTGATATAACATGAGGCATGCCGCACCGCTCTCAACTCGAGCACATTGATATGCAGTAGCATTTCTTGTGTTGACCAGCGACTCTGGACCGTGAGATTGCCCATGTGAGCTCCCCAACCCGTCAAGGAGGCATCTGTGGTTATTTCTGTTGTAGGTTGCGGGTGATGAAATGGAACGCCCGTGAGAAGATTGGCTGGGTTGGCCCACCACTGTAGGGACTCCCGGACATACTGTGGCACCACTATCAACCTGTGAACACTGTGTTTCGCCGGAATGTAAACCGTGGCTAACCAGTGCTGGAGGCAACGAAAACGTAACCTTGCATTGCGCACTACAATAGTGGCAGCAGCCATATGCCCCAACAGCTGTAGACAGAAGTGTGTGGGAATTGTTGGAGCATGCACCACGGTGTGTACCAGGTCTTTGATTACCATAAAACGTTCCGTTGGTAAATATGCTCGCGCCATGGTTGAATTGAGTCGTCCACCTATGAAAACAAGGTTTTGGGATGGAACTAGTGACGACTTCTTTACGTTTATGAGAAGGCCCAGAGCAGCAAATTTGTCGGATACTGTCCAAACCATATGGTTTTCCATATACGTTGTGCCCCTGAGGAGACAATCGTCTAAATAGGGGAATATTGTCACCCCCAGTCTGTGCAGGTGGGCCGCGACCACTGCTAATGTTTTGGTGAAAACTCTGGGAGCACATGCTAGTCCAAATGGCAGAACCCTGTACTGATAGTGCTCATCCCCCAATTGGAAGTGAAGAAAAAGCCTGTGAGCCACGTGAATCGCTACGTGGAAATAGGCGTCCCGCAAGTCGAGGACTGCAAACCAATCCCTTTTGTTCAATGACAGAATAATAGTTGATAAGGTTACCATCTTGAAACAATGCTTTCGAAGGTGCCGGTTTAGCTTTCGAAGGTCTAGAATGGGTCTCCAGCCTCCTGACTTCTTTGGTGTGAGAAAATATCGGGAATATAAGCCTTTTCCCCAGAACTGTTTGGGAACTCTCTCTATCGCCCCGATGGTGAGCAAACGTTGAACTTCTTGCTTCAGCAGTTGCTCGTGAGAGGGGTCCCTGAAGAGGGACGGGGTAGGGGGTGTGGTAGGGGGAATAGAGAAAAAGGAGATGGAGGGGCCGGACTGTACTACCTCTAGCACCCATCTGTCCGTGGTGATGTCGGACCACTGATGATAAAATGATCATAGGCGATGGTGAAAAAGATGAAGAGTTTCGTTTTCCGTGTTGATTATGGGGGGTTGGCTTGCATCCTTGACAAGCAAGTCAAATCTGCTGCTTAGTCGATGATTGATTGGTCAAATGGCTCTGTTGTGGTTGCTTGTGCTGAGGGCGTTGCCTAGGACGCTGGTTGTCAAAGGGACGTGCTTGCTGTCTAGAAAAATTAAAATCGTATCTCCATTGGTAAGGGAAATAACGTCTATGTTTGAAGGAAGGTGTGTACATCCGAAGTGTATGTAGAGTGGTGCATGGGTCTTTTCCCAAGTGAAGGACTTCATCGGTGTTTGCCGCAAAGAGCTTAAGCTTGTCAAACGGTAGATCCTCAACCTTGTTTTGCATCTCCCTTGGAGCCCCTGCTGATGAAAGCCATGATGATCTCCTCATGGCAATACCTGTAGCAGTGACTTGAGCCACTGTGTCAGCCACATCCATGGCAATCTGTAGTGCAGTGCTACATGATGCGTACCCTTCTTGTACTATTGCTTTCAGGAGTGGTTTCTTGTTGTCTGGGAGATGATGAAGTAATTCTGCTAGTTTTGAATAATTATCGAAATTATGGTTCGATAGATGTGCGGAATAGTTTGCAATGCATAGTAGCAGTGTGGCTGAAGAGTAGACTTTGCTACCAAAAATATCTAATTTTTTATTGTCCTTGTCCGGAAGCGTATTTTTGTACTGTGGCGCCTTACTCCTACTACCAACGAGTTAGGCTGGGGGTGATTGAATAAAAAGTCCAATCCTTTCACCGGTACAAAACATTTTTGTCGGCATTTTTACTCGTAGGTATAACTGATGTTGGGGTTTGCCATATCTCATCCGCCACTTCCATGATCGCGTCATCAATCGGTAACGCGACCTTTGCACGTTGTGGGCGGAGATTTTTCAAGAGACGGTGCCTTTTAACCGGAACATCCGCCAGCTGTATTTCCTGCGTGCCTGCCACTCGTTTGAAGAGATCCTGAAAGTGTTTCAGATCATCCGGTGGAGAGATGTCACCTGGGCATATCGCCTCATCCGGGGAAGACGAGGAGCAGTCTGCTGGAGAAGTTTCCGGTTTAGGGTCTTCTGCTTCAGACAACTGTCCCTCTTCCGGTTCGGATTGGTCTAGCTGAATCGTTGGACTCTTAGCTGGAGAAGGTGAGTCTAGGTGTTGTGATCGTGAGGTAAGTATTCTGCTGTTGGTGCTATTTTGGTTGGCAGATGCAGGAAGATCCCCTACACTATGATGGTGTATGGTCACGCTGGGGACGATTGTCATACGATCTATGATAGCGCTCATAATACCACTCAGAACGTGACGGGGAGGAGTGTCGAGGTGAGCGTGCACTACCATGTTGGATATAATACACGTGACATGGAGAGCGTCTAACAGACCCGTATCTTGAAAATCGTGAACAGGACCAACGTGCCTCTAAATACACTGCGCCCCTATAATTACACTGGCTGTACGTGATCCTTGAAGGAGAAACATTATAGTCACAATAGCGACCATGCCTTCCTGGTGAAACAGCTGGAGAAAAAGACCTGTCCCTATAATGGGTCTTTGACAATGACTTCCTAGGTATTGAAGCCTCATCCATCCCCACAGCTACAGGGGAGCCAGGCACCAAGTGGAAATGAAGCGGTGCCGGGGAAATCAGCTGTTGCTGCGCTGATGCCGGTGCCAGTAGAATGCCTGGTGCCGGGATTAACAACGGTGCCGAGTCTGAGGCATTGAAGTGTTCTGCCTCCGATACTGGTGCCAGAGGGGATGGTGCCATTACCATCATTGGGGCCGGTGAGGCAGGTGCCGTTACAGCCGGTGCCGCTGAAGCTGGTGCCGAGCGGCTGGTCAATTGCGGCACCGGCGCCTCTGTCAATTTCAGGGAGCGCGCAGCTGAAGCTGGTGCAGATTTGCTGGCCAGCTGCGGCACAGCTCCCAGTGTCGGCGCCAAAGGCCCTCTCACTCCGGGCAAGGGGGGTTTTC